ATCAAGGTTTTTTATGTACCAGGGCTGCTCTGCTGGCATCAGACACTTTAACAGCTTAGAATGTGAATGATTGGTTTCCATAAAGAGGAAGAAGGCTGGAAGGAACCCAAGGTAGAGGTTTAACACCGGAAGGGATTCAGTTCCCTGAAAAAGATCATGTTGCATGAGTGGAGTTATGGATCGGAGGCAGCAGTAAATCAGTGAAAAGCAAGGGCCGCACCTTAAGGTGCTTCTTTAGAGAAGAACTCGTGGTCTGAAACACAGAAATTTGATTATTTCAGGCCAGATTGGGATGTTTCAGCCATAATCCAGGAGCAACACATTTAATGACTAATTGATATCACCTGGAAGGCAATATCTAATCCAGTTCTGTTATTAAAAGAATGTCGCTGGTTTTAAATGTAGTGTTAGCATCAATGTGCTAACACTACATTTAACATTTGTGAGTCGGTTTATTCTAGATAGATTATAACCGATAAAATAACAGGTTATTTTATGGTTAATGTGCATCTTTAACTTATACTAGATCTGAGGCCTTCATAAATGTCTGTTTTTACATCAGTTATAGTAACTTTAAATATTAGGGATTTACGTAGGGTTGCCAACCGTCCCTTGAAAAACAGAATTGTTCCGTATTTAGAAATAGAAATGCCTGTCCTATATTTAGTGGAAAAGGAAGTGGAAAAGCTAATGGAAAATGAAGAACAAGGGCACGTTAGATACAAAACTTATGGTAAACTTGTTCCCCTCCCTGTCCTGTGTTGTGACTAATGAGCTGACAGCATAAATGTCCAGAATCCCCTCATCCCATTGGTCACTTAGTTAACTTCACTGTTATAAGTTAAGCAGGACAGGCTGATGTTTAAGATACTTATTTTATTCAGTAAAGTTTATTTTTTTTATTAAAGTGAATTGCTGGATAATAATTTGTTTTCCATGTGTAAATTTCACTCACAAATATGCATCTAAATCAATGCAGATTTGAGTCAAATAGTTCAAAATATAATTTCTCACACAAAGAGGGGCTAAAATCAACTACGCCAGGAGGGGTGGAGGATATCGGATCAGCTGGAATGCACATGAGGGGTCCCTTTTTCTTTTCTTTTCTTTTTTTCAGGGAGTTGGCAACCCTAGATTTGCGCCATCAGACACTAATCAGACCGAGGTGGGGGAAAAGTCTTTTCTTAGTCCTCCTGATCATCTAAAATAGTTTTAATGTTAACCTTTGTTAGTTTGACTCCTTCAACGTCTCCATCATCTCAGCTCTGTGTGTGCTTCTAGGTAGAAGTCTTTGATAGGGTACACCTTGGTGTAAAACATCTCTATGCTTTGCAGGGCGCGGCCATCAGGCTTTTAGCTAGCAGTTTACCTCTCTGGACCTGCTCTGGTTCTGTCTGGATAGAGCCGATCGGTCAAATGCATCATCAGTAGATTATTACATCCGTCTGTGACTTGATGGAGAAGCAGCAGCTCTCTGCTCTCTTTCACATCAATATTAACCTTCTGTTTCTGTGAATAACTCTCAATTCCAGAGTAAATTCCCAGGAATCGGCTTCCTTAAGATCCACGCTCCTTGGACCGTTTTGTGTAGAGAGGCCGAGATCATGAAGCTGAAGATGCCAACAAAGAAGGTATTTCATTCACCAGGCCTTGATTCCATAAAAAATCTTATTTTCTTTACATTCAGTTTCATATTAATATCATCAATGAAGGCCTAATCGTTGAAAAGTTTGCAGGTATTTAAACCAGTTAGAACTTGTTTGCACACATAAAGTGATATTGATGTTCAGTTCAGCAGATGGAGAACCAGCAACCTCTAATGAGCACACAGTAGAGACTGATGAATGGAGGACATGCAAATGGAAACGTTTACCACATGCAAAGCCTTTGGTTTACTTTGATCTAATCAGAAAATCCAAAGCAGCCACAGTTTTTACATCTTTTTTTAGCACTTTAAAGAGCATTAAGCTGTTATATTTGTAGAAAACTCGCCTCCTAAAGGAGCCTGTTGCCACAGTATACCGCATTAAGCTTTTAAATTTGCAGCAATACCTCCTCCTAAATGAGCATGCAGCCAAAGCGTACAGCTTTATGCAGCTGCAGCAGTATAGCGCATTAAGCTGTTACATTTGCAGCAATTCCTATACCGCATTAAGCTGTTACATTTGCAGCAATTCCTTTACCTCATTAAGCTGTTAAATTTGCAGCAATACCTCCTCCACAATCAACATGCGGCCACAGTGTACGGCTTTAAGCTGCAGCAGCAGTATTCCACATTACGCTGTTACATTTACGCAATTCCCCCTCCTAAATGAGCATGCGGCAGCAGTATATCGCATTTAGCCATTACATTTGCAGCAATAACTCTTCCTAAATCAACATGCGGCCACAGTGTACGGCTTTAAGCTGCAACAGCAGTATACCACATTATGCTGTTACATTTTCAGCAATTCTCCCTCCTAAATGAGCATGCAGCAGCAGTATACCACATTTTGCTGTTATATTTGCAGCAATTCGTATATCGCATTAAGCTGTTAAATTTGCAGCAATTCCTTCTCCTAAATGAGCATGCGGCAGCGGTATATCGCATTTAGCCATTAAATTTGCAACAATACCTCCTCCTAAATCAACACACGGCCCCAGTGTACGGCTTTAAGCTGCAGCAGCAGTATACCACATTACGCTGTTACATTTTCAGCAATTCCCCCTCCTAAATGAGCTTGCAGCAGCAGTATACCACATTTTGCTGTTATATTTGCAGCAATTTCTATACTGCATTAAGCTATTAATTTTCAGCAATTCCCCCTCCTAAATGAGCATGCAGCCCAGTATACTACATTTTGCTGTTATATTTGCAGCAATTCGTATATCGCATTAAGCTGTTAAATTTGCAGCAATTCCTCCTCCTAAATGAGCATGCGGCAGCGGTATATTGCATTTAGCCATTACATTTGCAGCAATACCTCCTCCTAAATCAACATGCGGCCACAGTGTATGGCTTTAAGCTGCAGCAGCAGTATACCACATTACGCTGTTACATTTTCAGCAATTCCCCCTCCTAAATGAGCATGCAGCAGCAGTATACTACATTTTGCTGTTATATTTGCTGCAATTCCTATACCGCATTAAGCTGTTACATTTGCAGCAATTCCTCCTAAATAAAAGAATCCTCCTTCAAGTAACAGTTTTCTGTCTTTTTCGTAGGTGTATGAAGTCAAACCAAGCAGCAACATAGTGGAGAAAATCCGACGGTTCATCCACAAAGTCACGGATCCGCTCCACCCCAAAGTGGGTCCCAAACGGCGGGAAGATGAGAAATCGCTCTCGCTTCCTTTTTCAAGGGAGAAGCAACATCTGTGAGTAGAACGTCTGTCCTTTCATCCTTTGATCGTAGAAGTGCTTGATAATCTCCGGTAGTTTAAAAGCAGAAAAGGCAGCCTGATGAATCTATAGGTTCTGGTTCTACGGGCGGTCCAGCTCTCTGCTCTGCTCTCTGAGGTCATCAGGGATTGACTCTTTGCTCCTTCTGATGTGAATGGAAGCTGACTGGAAGCTGCAGCATCACACTGGGCCTGAACACGTGAGAGGCTGCAGCTGAGTTTAGTTTAAGGATTTACACCATCACCTTCCTCTCCGCTCATCTATTTCATGGGGCATTGCTGAGACCAGCCTGGGAAATGCCTTATGTTACCAAGAGGACATCAGAAAAATGTTTGTCTTATATAAACTGTTATCAAACAGAGTGTTTATGCAGGACAGCTGCTATAATGAAACAGTGAGGCTGTCAGATAAAGATGATTCAGTCTGACTGCAGGATGCTTTCCTCCAGCAGACAAACTCCACTCTGACTCACTGAGGGCAATCATGTTCTCCAAACAGTGACTGAGGGTTTAGCATTGAATGTGAGGACCACTTGTGAGGCGTCGTGACTTCATGGCGGCGTCTCTGCTTCTAACCAGCCCCAAAGGTTGTCCATCCGGCGCGTAGAGCGGAGCGCTGCTGGGATGTATGGAGGAGAGAGTGGGCAGTGAGGAGCTAAATTTATCCTCTGACTAACGGCTTCCACATCTCTTCATCTGTTCTGGAGGCACTATGGGACGGATCCCTGAGATCAGGCTGATGGTTTAACCCAATCAGAGGGACCCTCCGTGTTCTTGGAGGGTTTCTCTTTCATTGGATCAGTCAACAGTCAAATATCTATTATTATTAAGAATTAAGGTTGTTCATATGAACAATGAAGTCATTTTCAAACACCTGACTCTCCTGAAAATTGGGGCAGTTAAAGTTTAGGAAATGTTCAGTTTCGTCCATCTAATAATATTCTAACCCAGCGCCTTCATTTATGAGGCCTGACATGATGCATGATTTGTTGCTCATCCATATTTAACATTTTTCCTTTTTGGGTTTTTTTGTCATACCTTTGTTTTATAGGCACCCAAAAAAATCTTCCATTGTATTAAATTATCTTCTGCTTTCGTTGTTTTTAAATGACAACCTGGGCCTCTATGCTGAGAGTTTCTATTCAGTTTATTTCTATAGCGCCAATTCACATCATGCCATCTCAGGTCACTTTCCAGTTCACCAGATAATCCAGTCAGATTGATTCAAAGTTTTCTATCTAAGGAAAACCAGCTGATTGCATCGACTCATTGACTCTTCAGCAATCCCTCACACTAAGCATGCTTGTAGCGACAGTGGAGAGGAAAAACTCCTTTTAAACAGGAAGAAACCTCCAGCAGAACCAGGCTCAGTGTGAGGGGCCATCTGCTGAGGCCGACTGGGGTTCAAGGAGACAGAAGCAGAGATAGAAAAAGAAGCATAGATACAAAAGGCAACTGTCAACCAGCTCCACAGGCGGCCCCGTCCAGGAAACACACAGCCAGGCAGACGAGCTCCGAGCCAGCTCCCATGTCAGAGGATGAAGAGAGCACATCCAGTTAGTCAAGGTCAGAGAAACAGGACTACACTGAAAAACAGGCCAAGCTCCAACATCTAGAAACAAAGGTGTTGATGGCAGCAGCACAGCTGATATTTCTCTCCAGGATGGAGTCACAGCCAAACAGGAACAGACCAGATGAAGCTACTATGAGAAAAAGCAGAGAGAGCAGAACGTTAGAGATTGAACTAACAGATTCTGCAGAGTGGGAGAATAGAGATAGAATGAAGCAGAGAGAGCATTGTTTCAACCACCTTCACCTCTTTTTGATGAGATCTCAGAGGAAAGGTTTTGTTTTTGTTGATCAGCAGGTTCAGCTTCCTTGGAGGAGCAGACTAGCAGCAGAATGCAGTTGAGTAGCTCAGCTCATTTTTCCCACGTAGCATTCAAAAACGGAAATCAATTTCTGAAGCTGTTTCCACACCAAGACGATTCCCCAACCTTTGTGTGAATCACACCGAAGCTCGAGAAAACCCATTCAGTCAGGCAGACGAAGCACAGGCTGTGTGGAGAAATCTTTTTCTTTCTTTTTTTTTCAGCTACTTCTGCCCACAAACCAGCCTGGTTTATAGATATTGAACCCCACTGCAATGTTATAACTGGATCTGGGCCTGCTGAAGGAGACATATTCTCCAAAAGAAAGAAAACTTTGCAGTAGATGTAACCTTCCAAAGTTTCTTCTGGAAGAAACTGGTTTTTCCAGCCGCAAAAAAAAGAGGAAAAATACAGGAAAAAAACTTTCAAACCTTTCGATCAGTTAATGTCTTTTGTAGTTTGGGGCAGAGTATAAACAGAGATATCGATGGATTTCACTTAGTCGGCACTTTATTTTTTTTCTTCCCAAAGTGAGAGCAGTTCATCATACGACCCTTACTGCTCGGTAATCAGCCCTGTTCTGCCTGAGCAGCGTTCGTTCTTCATTAGTTACAATAATGGAAAGTAGTCAGAGTTAAAACAATTACAGACACTTTGGTTAAACAGTAACATGTTAAGAATAAAATAATCTGTTTTGTTTTGGGACGAAGCTTTGTCTTGTCCTCAAACAACCCCACACAGGGGAATTGTGGCCTTGCAGGTGAAACAGGCTGATATTTTAAATTACTATATGAAATAAGAGAAACAAAACTTTCTGACCAAACTTTATACCGATGAGCTGAGACGTCTGGTCTGCTTTGAGAGGCTCTGCGTCCCTGCAGCACGTCGGGCTCCTCTCCCTGTTTCCGTGGAGACGATGCAGCTCTCTGTGAACATTAAAATGTCCTCCAGCAAATTTATGCAGACTTCGGTTCTTTGTGGAATTCTGATGCATTGATCAACCTCTTTTTTTTTTTGTTCTTTTTTTTTGTCATGTGCAGAACCATTGTGTATATTTAGAAATAAGGCAACATTATATTTATAAACTTTATTAAAATATTATAACATGTAATGTTTGCTATAGAGAGATTAATCCTCAGATCACCCAGGATTGTTTTAATGTGGCTGTTATTTCTAGGCTCCGCCCCTATCACTGTGCTGTGATGATGTTCTCTCTCCAATCTTTTTTTCTGGGTTGTTTTTGTAGTAAATGAGGTTCTTTCCTTTTTTCTCTCCCCCAGTTTTGACTTGTCTGACAGAGACCAGTTCTTTGACACCAAGACGAGAAGCTACATTGTAAGTATTCAGCAGAACGGCTGTTAGGAGATGATGATGATCATGTTAAACTGTTCCGTCACAGAGATGAACATCAACCGTCTGCGCTCACAGATAAACACACCCGCCAAACGCCCACACAGGACTAGTCTGTGCCTCACTAGTCAATCTGCAGACTGACCTAAATCTGATAAATGTTGTGTTCAGGATCCCAGTCAGGCTGATTAGAACCAGTGGAAACGCTGAGATCTGACTTCAAGCTACATTCATTAGTGGTCCTGAATCACATCTCTTATTTATTGTCTCATCAGCATTTATTTCTTGTTTATCCAAGAAGCAAACAATCATCCACTGCAACCAGGTTTCCGTTTTTATTATTTTACTGACTTTACTTTCTTGTATCTGCAGGTCTCTGAAGTCCTGAAGAGGATAAAATGCACCAGACCCAACTACTCTATGGGTAAAGTCTGTCTGAGATACCAGCACAGATATGATGAAATATGTGACATTCTTTGGTGGTTTGTTAAAAACTAAGGTCCGCACGCAGCTAGAAGCATTGGAATTCTGTCACATATATTTAATTTTTTTTATTTTACAACATTTTGTTGGTCTGCGCAGCTTAATGAATTAAAGCAGAGCTACAGACTCGGTTAAAGAAACGCCTTCATTTTAAAGCTGCGTCTGATTATTTTGAAAATGTATTAATCTGTTGATTGTTTTTTTTGATTGGAAATCAGATAGTTTCACATGTTAAGATACAGTAATGCCTTCATTGGGTCACAGCTTTCTGCTTCAACCCTCTAATGACGGCGGCGGCTTTTTTCTGCTTTTAAAAGGGGGGGGGGGGGTCAGATGAGATCGGGAGAAAATGGAGCACTAAGAAGATTTTTTTGTTATGAAATGAAACCAGATGAAACTAAAACTTTTAGAGCCCAGAAGTTTTAGGTGGAGCAGATTAATAAAGGAAAATCATTTTTTTAATCTGAAATGTAAAATGTTAATATTTTTAAACTCTGTCAGCTAAAGGCACGTTTTACAGTCTCTATCTTCAGTTAACGATTATCGATTATTAAATTAGTTGACGATTATTTTGATAATCGATTAAATAGAATTCTTTCAAAGGAAAATAGATGTTTTTTGACGTTTTTTCTTAACCAGCTGTTGTAGATGTTGCAGGTTGTTTAGTCTACGACTGACTGAACACACTTAAAATCATTAAAATATATTTTTTTCTTTTTAAAAAGATAAAAACTAAGTTTTGGCCCTGCCCAGGGTTAAATATTTAATGCAAAGTGATAATGGTTTAACTGTTGATGATGCAATATTGATTTCATGTAATTTTGCATTAAAATCATGCAGCAGGAGATAAAGTGTGGTTCTGGGTTATTATGATTCAAACAGGCTCATTTTTAACATAAATATTCTGCATTTAGTGGCTCCACAGCAGCGCTCTGATTAAAGGCTAGTAAAACCCATCTCTGTTTGCTGGTGTCAGGCAGAAAACACTGTTGGAGCTAGCTGTGCTTTGATGGCCATGGATGGAGTCACCATCTCAGCTCCACTGTAGCCTCAGGTTCTTTTCTGAATTTTTAAAAATGCGTCCTACATTGCTATCATCTCATCTCAGATGTGTAGCAGCAGGTGAAAGTGCAGGTAGCGCCATTAGTAGGTTCTTGATAACAATCCGTCTAGCTCTAACACCAGCTCATGTTCTCTCTCTCACCTGGGGGAGGCGCTGTAGGCATGACTGTTGGCAGCGATTCACGTTAGGGTTTCACTGAACAATCAAGCGATCGTTTCAATTTGGGAACAAAATAAAAACTCGTCTTCAAAATGTTCCAAGCACAGAAGAGAGGCTGTGGAGTGCTCCATCTTCTCCCGATCTCGTCTGACCGACTTCCCCCCCTTTAAAAGCAGCTCAGGATCCTTAGGAAACTGAAAAGAAGTCGCCGCCATTCTTAGAGGGTTGAAGCAGAAAGCTGTGACCCAATGTGAAGGCATAGCTGTATCTTAAACAACAACATAAAACTTATAATACTTGTGAAAAAATAATTTGTGTTTTAGAGATTTTAAAGCCCCATTTGAAAGACATGTGGAGGAAACGCCATGTGACTGAGTTTTAGCCATTTCTATGAATAGATGATCATGAGCAGGTGTCCGTTGGGCCCTGTACCGGCCCCGCTGGGCTTAAGGGGTTAGGCTCTCCGTGGGTTTGGCTCTGGGTGTTCCTGCTGAGTGTGTGTTTGTTTATTTACCTGTTTTCATGCTAATCCGGGTGATCATGCTTCCTACAGGGATCACCAGTCTGCTAGCCAACGGTGTTTACACGTCTGGTTACCCCCTGCATGATGTGAGTACCAACAGCTCATTTCATCCTTTATGATCCCTTCTGGAGGCCCTCGGCCATCACTTCCAACAACCACTGGAAAAAGATAAGGCTGTCTGGGTTCAGGTGGACAGATGTTCTTATATGACTCCTTGTTTCAGCAGCACATTTCTATAATGTTATCATGTATCCTTTCATAATCCATAATCCCCCCTCGCTTTGCCAGTTGCATCTAAAATAATCCAAAAACATCCCCTAATAAATTTTTTTTCTAAATGCATGAAGCAGAGCCTCTGTACCCCTTTCCCTCTAATGTTTTAAAATGATCTGTTTTTATATCCTCAGTTTTGAACATTTTTGCAAATCATTTTTTTTTGCCAAAGTTAATTGGTTCATTGTTTATCAGAAACTCTTCTAAAGTCGCAAAGATGCTGCCCTAAAGAGACTAGCTGTCGGATCATATTCTGCTCTCAAGACCCTCACCTTCTTCACAAATAACGATAAACGACGAGTTCTAGGCTACTACTACTGGTTTTTAGGTAACCAATGTACAACGCCCCTGATCCACCGTAACCATTATGGGTTGGTAAGAGTAAAATGGGATTACCTTTATGGGTTGGTATGAGTAAAATGGGATTACCTTTATGGGTTGGTATGAGT